TAGGCAGCAGGTTTAAAACAAATACAAGGAAGTTCTTCTTCACGCAGCGCACAGTCAACTTGTGGAACTCCTTACCTGAGGAGGTTGTGAAGGATCGGACTATAACAGCGTTTAATAGAGAACTGGATAAATTCATGGTGGTTAAGTCCATTAATGGCTATTAGCCAGGATGGGTAAGGAATGGTGTCCCTAGCCTCTGTTTGTCAGAGGATGGAGATGGATGGCAGGAGAGAGAGATCACTTGACCATTGCCTGTTGGTACACTCCCTCTGGGGCACCTGGCATTGGCCACTGTCGGTAGACAGGATACTGGGCTAGATGGACCTTTGGTCTGACCCGGTACGGCCGTTCTTATGTTCTTATGTTTTAACCCCATTTCAATGGGGTCGCCAGGGCCAGCGCTAGATTTGCTGGGGCCTGGAGCAGCAGGGCTCGGTTTCCACCCTTGCCCTGCCCACTGCCCAGGGTCATGTAGTAATTTTTGTTGTCAGAAGGGGGTCATGATGCAATGAAGTTTGAGAACCTCTGAAAGCCCTAGTCCTAGGTGGTCCTTAGTGTCTCTTTCAAGTTGGTGCATGGGCACTCACCTCCTAGCGATTGAAATGGGAGTTGAAGAAGCTCAGTGTAACAGTAGCATCTATTACGCTCAGAATTGCACAGGGTCAGGCATTTAGTTAGGGATTACATTGCAGTGTCGGCATATTCTAAATAGCCCCCATTACGGTATTATCTGTGTCCCTCACAACCTTTTACTGTATTTACTTCACAACATCCCTGTGAGGTAGAAAGTACTATTATCCCCATTTCACAGGTGGGGAACTGGGACAGAGAGAGACTAACAGCCAGTTTTTCAAAGGTATTTAGGGCCTACGGATGCAGATAGATATCTATTGGGATTTTCAAACGTGCCTAAGCAGGTTCGATCATATTACCTGGCTGGCAGTGGTTGCCTCTTAAGTCAAGGTCTTGTATGTTGCAGCTGTTGAGAAATGACCCTGTATCACTACTGTTGCTGATTCTGAATTAACATTCAGCTGGGAATTGCCAGTTCTCAGGCACTCGTTGTACCATCCTTACATGCGTAGTCCCAGTGAAATTAATGAGGCAGAGTAAGTTAACGCTCAACATGTGCAGGGGCAGAGAGGAGATGCAGCAACATAGAAAACATGTGTGGGGTCAGGCATCGTTCAAATCTGGAGAATAGAGATGTAAAGTCCCAACTAGCTGTTAAGGCATCAAAATTCACCTCCTGCTTAGGGCAAGACTAATGCCACACACAGGCTTAATTTCCCCAGGCTTCTTCTGATGTATATATCTGATGGGAAATCATAGTTGGCACAATACAGGTGTGTGGGAGGGGGATGAAGGTGCAAGGAGCACTTTCCTCTATCCTCTAATGCACCCGTGCAAGTATCAAGCAATATTTGGCTGCAGGGTGCAGGGAAGAACAGGAGATGAAGACCTGATAACAAAAATGCCTCTAGGCAGTAGGCCTTCTCCCTAGCATTCTGTAGGAGGCAGAATTTTGCCTATTGTAGTTTTTGTTTTATTTATTATTTATTTGTGTTGAGGCAGCATAGAGAGGTCTTTAGTCAGGAATGGGTTTGAGGCCCTTAGTTTGGAAGAAATTTCAAGGCTTTTTTCCTCATTAATCTCATTCACATTCTTATCAAGAAGTTTGCAATATTATCTGTTCCCTCTTTGTTGTACTAAAGTGAATATATAGATCATAAAGACCAGTAAATTGATCATGTCCAAGTGCCTTAAGTACCTGCTATTAACATTTTTACATTCAAAATAGCTTTGGCAAAAGGAAAGAGTGAGTAGCTGAGTTAATTTTTGCCTGGCCTCTAAAACTGACCATGTAAATCCCGTATTTGCCTAGTCAGACTGCATTTTAAGAGGTTTTTTTTATTAGTTTAATAGCTTTGAAAATACATAAAATGTAGAGAAAAACCACTCAGATCTTTGTTACACAGACCTCTGGGTCACTGCAGCAGTATTTCTAACACCACATATGTGTAACAAATAACATAACTGATAAACAACTACAACAACACTGCAAATAACCGATAAAAGCAGAGAACTATATTCTTTCCTGGCTTACATCCCCAGCAGCAGCTGAGTATCTGGCCAATGTATGTAAATATTTTCTAAGTGGCAGTGATGTTATTTAGATTTGTATTTTGCTGCAGATATAAAATGGAACCAGTTCAAAAGATCTAGGTGCTAGGAAGATTTTCCAGCATGAATATGAGAGCTCTGGCTTTTGAAGCAGCCTCTTATGAGCCAGTCTCCACGGTTTTAAAAGACTTCAAAGTGTTATTGGGAATCAACTAATATGTGTGTTAAAAAAGGTTTAATAGGGGATTAAGGGAGATGCAGACACTGCAGCATAATGTCTTTTTATAGTGAGTTTTTATTGAGATAGGGAAAAAAATCCCTGCAGATTACAGTAGGACTAGCATATTGAAAAGGTAATTTACACTAACATATTTGCTTGTCTGTCATTCACTATGAAGATTGCCAGCTTCAAGAGGAACAATAAGTAGAGACAGGCTTGAGAAATTCAAGTACTAATTATTACATTTATTTTGTTTGTAATGTTCATTAAGAGCAGTGTACTGAGTAGTGCTGGGTTCTGGTTTAAAGGATGAAATTACATATACTGTGAGGTGCATCCATTTTAAATTTTTGAATAAACCTTTTTGCAGCCATTGCATCAGAATTTGAACATGTCTCTTTGTTCTTTAAAATGAAGACAAACTTTCAGTTCTTGAACCCTCTCTGATAAGTATTTGTCTAGCTTTTATAGTAACTAGTTCCTTATGGGAAGAAAGACAACACTATTTGTGACTATTTGTTTATATTAAGGTAGCACTTAGAGACCCCAACTAGAGCTTGAAGTGCGCCAGGTCAAAATGGGTTGCATGCCCAGGAAATACAATTTCTAGGAGACAAACTGCGTTGCTGAGGAGTGTATAGTTTTCATACTAACCTCTCACTGGTTGCTTTCCCCACTTGCCTGCCTCCTAGGGTAGAGCAGCCATTCAGGCCTGCTGCAGGAATCCATCAGCGATCTCTCCCCCACCCCTCAGCAATCCAACACCATTCTCACAGGAGGGAAGACAGATGAAGGAACAGAAAGAGCCCTTGCTCAGAGTGGCTCCATTCCCTTCCCTCCCTGCCCCAGCAACACTTGGCTGGGGAAGGAAGAGGGGGGACCCCACTTCAGCCTGCTCCAGCCTGGGAGCGGGGGTGAAGAACTCCAGGAGCTACAGGACAAGGAGAGGGGAGGCTGGGGGGTGGGGTGCAGAACAGATGTGGGAGTAGAACTGATATGAAGACAGGGGGGGACAGGACTGATTTGGTGGTTAGGGGCAGAATTAATTGCCAGGCAGGGGGGCAGGCAGATGTGAAGGTGATGTGACCCCCACCCACTTTTTTCAGACCACTTTAAGCACTGATGCCACCTGAGATTGGAACCTTCTTGTACCATACAAACACACAGCTAAGCCCTAAGAGATAATAAGCCAAAAAAAAAAATACAGACAAGAAGTAGGAGAAATGGAATATGATTAGCCCCATTTTATAGATGGGGAACTGAAGCACAGAGAGAATAAGCAACTCCAGTGGCAGACCCGGGAAATGAACCCTGAGGCCTAATCCAGTGTTTTACCCAGAGGACCATCCTTCCTCCCACTCTCACGGCTTCTGTAGTTAAGATATTTGGGCTCGTTCTGTCTCTGCCGTTACGTTGTTTTAAGTTACCATTTCACTATTCTTTTCTGCTGCAGGCAGAGGTGGACTTTACTTCAATTTTTGTTTCAAACCTTATTTGAAAAACAGGCAGCAAACCTTCAGTTGCTTAGATGGTCCAAGCAGGAAATGTATCTGGCTTTTTAACCCTCAGACGCTGGTGGGGGATGTAAACAAACTTTGAAAATGCTGATGAGAATAGAGATGTCCGAATCTGCTTTGAATCAATCAGCTCCCTGCATCCCCTTTGTTCCCATTATGTTGGCAACTTGGCTTGGCTTCTTTTCTTTCCTCATGATTAGACTTAGCTGACTGACACAAGTAAAACACCAGCCTGGGAACCCTACAGCCTGATTACCACCCCCCACAAGGGTCAAACCGCACTCGTTAAGAAAAAGGGAAGAAGAAAACAGAAGACTGAGCTGTTTGCTGGGAGTGAGTCACCAACGCCGAGGGTATTTTCTTCTATTATTAATGTTCATTATTTCTATCTGAAAGTGGAAGGCCCAGCCTGAGATATTACTAGAAGAGTTTGGGTTAGGTAATATTTTTTTCTGGACTTTTTTTCTTTTGTGTTTTGTTTTTGCCACGCTAGCTGTGTCGGGGAGTGTCTTGCTTTATTAATGCTGAGCGGCTCCAGCACTTGCTGTGGTTTTATGATCAGTTAGTCATCTGCTGCTGCTGCTGCGCTTGCTACAAGTGGCTGAAGAGCCCAGAGCCAGAGCAGTGCATATAGGCCCCCTTCTGTTCCAAGGCCAGCAGGGAAGGAAAAGGCGGGAAAGAGAAAGGGATAATACAGGTGTGTGTGTGTGTGTGGGAGGGGGGGAAATACAGTCCTACTGGTTTTCCCTAAGTGCCTGGTGAGAGGGGGGATGTTGTATGAGTGCTATTGGGGGAGGGGAGACTCTAGTTATGTATGAGGGGGAAGAGACCCCTGAATACTAGTGAGAGGCTGTGCAACTGTCCTTGAATATTGGTGATTGGGGGTTGGAGGAAGAGAGTACCAGTGAAGTGTGTGTGGGGGAGGGGTATGTGTGTGTGAGATTCTCCCTGAGCACCAAAAGAGCAGGTGGGGGTGAAAGAGATGCTCCCTATGTAGCAGGGAGAGTGTGTGAGTTTCTCTCTGTCCCCCAGATTAGGAATGAGAAGCAGGTGTGTGACTCTCTCCCTGAGTATTGGGGTATGTGTGTCCCTGAGTACTCTTCCTGTATTACAGTTCTTTCTTTCTTCCTTTCTCTAGGATGAGGGGGTCCTGGCAGGCGTTCCCCCCTCTATTCTTCTCCCTTCTCCTCATGCTTCCTCTGAAGGACATCTCAACCTCACCTCTGTCTGGTAGAGCCCAATCAACTCTGGTCTCTGGTGGGAGTGACAATGGACACACCTGTCTTGGTATGTATTCAGGTTTTGTTTGCTTGCTTTGTTCATCCATTTGTTATTACACTGGTAAACAGAGGCTAGCTGTGCACATAATAAATCATCCTTTATCTGTTTCAACAGCTGCCGCTGCTGCAAAACACCAGTAATCTTAGCCCAAATAATAACTGTTTTAAGACTCTCAAAGCTAAAATGGGGTTTGGAGCTGCTGTTTTATAGAATTTTGGAGCTGCTGTTTGATAGAATTCATACCCTTGGTCTGCAGGAAATATTAGTGATACTGGCTTTCACACTTAGTAGCTAGAGAACTGAAAACAGGATGTGATTGTTTTTAATATTTATTGTGGCTGTTTTGAATGTATGTTACTATGTTTTATTTTATTGTACAGATGAGCTTCCCTTCCCCTCCCACAAGACACCCTCAAAAAACAGAAGTTTCATCTCAGTTGGTTTTGCCTGGCAAAATCTTCTTAAGAAATACATCTAGGTTTGGGACACAGAACTTTGTGAGTGCTTCTTTGGGTTTGACAACATGTTCCCAGTGTTCAGGGTGAAATTCATCTGATGTGAAGGGCCTGTGCAAGGCTTTTTGCATCACTTAAGCATTTGCCTGCTTTGGAGGATGTGTCTGCTCTGGTCTGAAAGACCAGCACAGGGGGAAGCATTGAGAAATGTTAAGGAAGAAGCCTTGAGATACATGGATTCAGTGGTCCTAACTACCCGTACAAGCGGCATGGAGGTTTGCAGCTCCTCTTCCAGCTTGCATGCTGAACTAGTAGCCATGGAGGTTGAGATGTGGTTTAAATGTACACAGCCGGGTCCATGCACTTAACCAAATACGCGATGATTTGGGCTTTATGAGGGTGGAGTGATGTTCACCCCTCTGAGTTTTGACAAACACGCGCACTAGCAAACATGTCGTGGTGATCTCCACAACATGGACTTGGTCAATTTAGTCCCAAGGTGTAGTGAATCTGATAAAAGTACTAATGTCAGAGTCAGCTCGGAGCATTTCTGGCATCTGTAGTTAAAGTGCAGTAGGCAGGAGAATCAACCAAGGTAGGGAGTGCAGCTTTTATTTATTTAGTTAGTTTTAATTGACATATATTTACAAAACAAACATCAATTTGCTTTATGACCAAACAGACTTTGTTTGACACCTTTTTGTCCCTCTCTAGATAATTCAGTTTTCACTGAACACTGCATTTTGGACAGATAATCACACGCCAGACTAGTTTGAAAAATTCTGTTCCTCAATCTGCAGAAGGCTTTTTGGGAATAGACTTATGAAAATGAAAACTATCTTCACTATTTCAATGTAGTCCTATGTAAAAGGGGACTTTATGATGCTGTCTTTTAAAATAAAGACACTACAAACAATTTAGGGACTCCCTCCCTTCTTTGTGTTGCACATGTGATACTCTCCTCCATCAGTTTTATAATGATAGATAAACTGCTGCCCATTTTATATATTTAAATTACAACCGTCGGGAAACAGCTGCTCTTCCCTATAGAGGCCCAGATCTAGGGCTCTACATGCAGGATAGGTGAGTTAGGAGTCCCTGAGTTCTGAGTCTGGCTTTGCCAATATCTTGCTGTGTGGCCTTGAAAAGCCAATTAGGACCAGATGTGTATACCCTTATTAACATTCATGTGTACCTTTTGACAAGAGTAGCCCTTTGCTTTCACTGAGGCAACTTGTCGAGCAAGTTACTACACACACAACTTCTCTGAAAAAGATATGAGAGTGTGGCCTTTAACCCCTTATGTCTCCGTTTCCCCATCTGCTAAACAAGCAAAATAGTGCCCATTTCACAAGGCTGTGGTGAGAAATAGTTAATCTTTGCTAAACACAGTTTGAATACCAGGTATTATTGTTGGCCATGTCTAACATCACATTCTCTCGCTCTCCTCGTTTCTTCTTTTGCATCTCTGTTGAATATTTTTACATTGCTAGTGAATTTTAAAATAAGCTTCTGTTCTCTCCTCAGTTGCCAGCGAGTGCTGTAGGGGATCTGTGCAAATGATCAGTGGAGTCTCTCGTAATGATGTGACTGCGTGTTGCACTTGCATGGCACTTCTTGCTAATTGCACATTTTATTTTTTTTAAAACTTCAGACTGCACAGCCCCCTTTGCAGCTCCACTTTGGCTGCCCTTTGGAATGAGGCTATTAGTCAGAGAGAGCACAATATGTTTGGGCAGCAGCTCATTTAATCTTCTCTAGCTGACTGATATTGTGTGGGTCAGCAGCCACACTGGCCAATTTCAGCTTTACCAGGGCCAATGTAATTCTCCTTCATTCTTCTCATCAACTTCCCTGGACCACCTCTCACATTCATCTGTGAGAACCTAACTTCGGGGGTGTGGGGGCATGCGGTAGGCACCATATTAAAACAATGTATATTTTTAATAATAATAATAACAACTTCAGAAAAGCAGAGGGAAAAACTAACCCATAATTCCAAGCTCTCCTGTGTTATAAAGTGTTAATTTGCAGCCCTGATAGTTTGTATGATATCCAACTTTTAAAACTGTCTAGCTGTGCTTTTTATGGCATGAATGCAGGACTGAATAATTTACTGTAGCGTATGCAGTGTAATTGTAGCCGTGTCGGTCCCAGGATATTAAAGAGATTTCCTCACCCACCCTGTCTCTTACTGTTGGGTAATAAATTCCAAATCTCAGATCAATGTTGATTGCAGTTCCTGATAATTTAATACAGTGGCACATACCAAACACAGTGAGAGGCTTTTAATAATAATGCTGAAACAAAATGGCTGTTTAGATATTGTCTAGGGAAGCAGTGTGCTATAAAACATAATATATAGACCAATGAGTGCTGTACTTTGGCATCACTGTAAAACCACAATTCATTTTACGCTGACAGCCCAGGCTAGATACTGATCTCATCTCACGTGAACCAGTGTAAATGCAGAGTGAAGCCATTCACTTAATTGAAGTTACTCTTGATTTACACAGATGAAAGTGAGCAGGATTTGGCCCATACTCAGTAGTAAATGTCAAGTGTTTGCTATATTATTTTTTTCCTTTTGATTGAGATATGTATATGTGAATCCCAGGCATATATAGCTCTGTGGTAGTATACTATACCAACAGTTGAATAGATATTTTCATTCTAAGCCTGTGTTTTCAGAGAAGTTTCAAGAAATATAAGGTAACATCTTCAAAAGCACCTAAGTCCCATTTTAAAAAGTGACTTAGGTACTTAAGAATCTCATTGAAAGACAGTGGCCATAAAGCATACATATAACAATGAGTGCTGTAAAGAATGTATGTAGCATACTTACACACATTTTGGTGCTTTTGAATATTTTACCCATCACTCTTTGGGTTGAAATTCCTTGTACTTGTTCTTAGCCCAAAGGTAAGCTTTTTTCCCCCTTGCACCTTTAATAACATTCTTTTTTGGCACGTTTGAATGATATGATGATGAAAAGTTGTTTATGATTCCCATAATAGCTGTAACTCAGCCACCAAATGCTTATATATATCTTTTCTCCTTATAGAGTCATCAAAAATATTGCATGCACTCAATGAACACCTTTCAGTGGTTTGGGGAGTCCTACATTTTAATCTCTTTACTTTTGTGCATATAAAATGTAAAGATTGTAAGCTCTTTGGGGAAAGGACCATCTTTTTGGTATATGTTTGTATATATACAGTACCTAGCACAACTGGGGCTTCTAGGTGTTACTTCATTAATAACTACTGTGGTCGGGTTTTTTTGCATTAGACTGAGGACAAACTGGAAGTAGAGATGTGATTAAACCATTCTGACCCCGGTTCAGACTTCAGTGGGATTTAAGCACATGTTAAAGTTAAGCATGCGCTTAAGCACCTTTCTGAAGAGGGAAGCTTTCCTGAATTGGGGTGTCAGAGAAAAGAGGAATAGAGAACATCACTTCTTAGACTACACACACAGACACACACAAACATTTTTATGTTAAACCATATAAAAGAGGCAAATCCATTGGAAATTCTTGTGTTATATATTTTGCTAAATGATTATCTTTCAGATATACCTTATGTAGCACCAGGCATCTATGTGGATAGGTACCACTGACCTCTACTGGGTGGAGTCAGAACTTTCCACATCTATACCATGGTCCCTGTATGGTATCTAGAGGAGAGAATAATAAATAGAGACCTTTGTTTTTTGAGTAGTAGGATCAGAGTTCTGTCCCTGCTATTGCATGATGCTCAGAGTGACTGTGGTAAACAAGAAAAGTGACACGTGATGTTCCTAGGTTTTTGTGCCACGCCATCTACTGAGATGCAATACACTTAAAATATCATATATTGATATTAATATTTAAATATGTGGTAATGCACTACATTACATTATGCAGCATAGCTCAAATATAATGCAAATTGACAAATTTGGTAATATTCTAAATAAAATTTGTGTATTGCCACATATGTATTTAACATGCAAAATATGTTGCATAACACAACAAATTTAGGGGAAAATGTATAGTCTATGCCAACATTTTTAAAAGTGGGTACCTAAAATTACAGTCACATCAGTGTCTCTATCCAATGTGTTTACATATTATGCATATAATATGGAAAACTAAAATCTGAATTTTAACCATTAGATCACATTTCCTCTCTCTTTTTTTGGCTTCAGGGATGATTTTAGCCCAATATGTTGAAGCAAGTCAAAATACAACAAATTCTCTGCAGAAGTACAGTTCCAGAAATGTCTCAGAGCCCTCTCTGGCTATACACTCTATGCTGCATTAATCATCCCTAAGGACTCCAACTGAGATAGCCAAGACATTTTTTTATTAACTCTGTTTCCTGATTTTCCTCCATATCCTAAGGCTCGCTTTGTAATAGAGTTTTCTGAAACTTGGACAAGTATTGTATTAACTGTGAAATACAATAGATTAAGGGATATTGACTTAGAACAATGTTGTGCCTGTTGAAACCATATATTATCAGCCCCAGCTCTTAGCTAATTTACCAATCTATTCAGTTGAAGCAGATA